CTTTAAAATCAATTCTAGCGCCTTTCTTGTTCATTTTTATCTCAGAGCAGGAGTTGTTAGGGGCACCTTTCGAGTTCTCAAGGTAAGCTGAGCTTGCTCCTTTCTTGGAGGGATGAGGATCACAGAGTTTTGCATTAATCTTATAAAGCTCGAGGGCTTTAATAGCTGCTGCATTATTATCCATACGAAGAAAAGTTGGACAGGAAGCACAAAACTCATTCGTGCAGGCCTCATTTCCACAGCCCTCAGTTAACTGGTGGTAGTAGCGTTCTATTAGATGCTTTGCAGCTGCTCGCTTCCTGTACCAAACATTCAAACAATAAGCACAGTGATTAGTACAGCTCTCATGTACAAAGCTCAACAGATTATCAAGGCAAAAGTTAGTCAAGCACTGAAGTAATAAACCTGTGTATTAAGATGAAAAGTAGATGCATTATTAGCCTACAACTTCTGACTAGTGAAATAGTTAATAAATATTTTCTAGGCTATTGTGATAAAGAATGTCATTTGTTTATCTGACTGTATTGTTTTAACAGTATACACCCTTTGGTTTAAAAGTGGGGAGGGGAGCTTCTCTGATGGTATATGTGCTTAAGCTGTTTAGCACAGCAGCTGAAAAATCACAAGGTTTACAGCTAAGAGTTTTAGGATTCTATCATTTTAAAAATTAGCATTAAGAAAATGACTCTATTTAAAGCATCAATCCAGTTTTCCCTTACATAACCATTACTTCATTTTTAACAGTTTGTAAATATTTGACTTATAGTTAACACAGAATATCTATCTGGAATAAAAACTATTTTTTCCCCAAAAATGAGACTTAAAAATAAATTTTTAAGTGAAATGTCCAAAGCTACTGTTACACTAAAAGAAAGTGGCTGCAGGCTCGGTGAGGTAGCTCATGACTGTAATCAATGCCATAAATTTGGAAGGCAGAGGCAGGCAGACTGCTTGAGCCTAGGAGGTCAACACCAGCCTGGGCAACATAGTGAGGCTACTCTTTACAAAGCTTTTAAAAAATATTAGCCAGGTGCGGTGGCATACACCTGTAGTTTCAGCTACTCGGGAAGCTGAGGTGGGAGGATCACTTGAGCCTGAGGGTCGAGGCTGTCGTAAACTGAAATCGGACCACTGCCCTCCAAGCCTGAGCGAGGAACTAGACTTTGTCTAAAAAAAAAAAAAAAAAAGAAAACAAACTGGCTCCAAAGTATACAATCTTAAATCTAAAACTTGTCACTAAACCTTCTCCTTAGCTCCACATCACAAGATGGAACACTTTAAGTTCCATTATGCAAAATCTTATATTCTTTTTACTCTGTGAACTTAGCGTACACAGATTAATGTCCTATTATGACGGTTCGGGAGAGCTACCAAGACTGAGGAAGGAATTATGTGATCAAGTAAGAAGTTAGATGACATTACACCTCTATATTCAACACGAAAGAGTCTATGCTTCTACTAATTGATGCTATGAGATTATCATAATTTAAGTAGAATAAACTACTGGATCCAAAGAAACATTAAGTCACAGCTATTCTTTTTGGTCCCAAATTCACAAGTATGGAAATAGAAACTACAAAGAATCAAAACTGTAAGGAAAAATAATTCAGCTAATTTTCAAAACAGTCACAGAATCGTCATACTAACATGTAGGACTAAATAACCAATGGCATGGAGTTTACATCATGTTCATCATGAGAAACTCAACAACAAGGCAGCAAATAAGTGATGAGACACGGCAGTCCAATTTTGTCTCAAAAGAAGGACTCTGACTCTCTAACTATCCAGGTAGGTGACAAAAAGTGATAATTCACACACATTCAATTCACATTCTGGTGCTTATATTTTTTCAAATGTTCCATGCAAAATACCACTCACTGCATGCAAACAGAGAAAAAAGAAAACCCACAAAGCACAAGTAAAAATTGCATAAGCATGACTTAAAGACATTTTACTATCTATGAAGCTATAAACAACCCCACCTGAAAATTAAAAACTTATCACAGATGCATCACTATGTAAAATATGAAAATGAAAACATGTAAAAATACAAGGGGAATGCAGAATCCAGAAGGTTTAAAACACAGATTGCTATTTTTCGGTAAAGAAAGGGAGATAATGTCATGTTCTCCCAAACTACAGTGACTTCCCTGGTGAAATGTAAATAGGTAATCCTTTCTGTAGGAAAATAGTGAAGATGTATCAAAATCTTAAAAACATGAACACTGTATGAATGAGATCTTGTGGGAAATAATTTGAAAATTTTACAAAAGTGCATTGTTTCTGTATCTGAAAAAAATCAACATGTCTAATAAAAGATTACTTAAATGAACTAATGGATCACACAGTAAAATTAAAACTATCAAGATTTGAATTGGATAAGGAATAGTCTTCCTGATCTATCACCTACTGACAAAAGTCAGTTACAAAATAGCAGGCGTAGGATGAACCCATTATTTCAAAGCATCAATAGTATTTTCTCTGGTTGATGTGATTAAATGAGTTATAAAACTTCTTCCATCTTTTGATTTCTTATTCATTCCTTCTATATTAAAGCATGCTGCTTGCATATGAAAAATTAATAAATATGATAAAAGGAAAATGAGCAGTTTTAAACTTGATCTACATGATTTGGATGGCCCCAAGATTTACAAAATTGTCTCTGATTTTTAAAAAATTATCAAAGTCAAAATACCAAAACACTCAAGATACATTTTAATGTGAACTTCTGTACTAAAATAACCTCCCCAAAACTTGTCAGATAAATAGTAATTCTTTATATACTACATAGGAGGAGAGTGACCATCACAAACAGAACAAGACTGAAAAATTAGAAGACCTGCATTAAGTGTCATCCGTCTGTCTCTAAGTAGTTGTTGGATCCTAGGGAAATAATTCTCTGGGCCTCAGTTTTCCCACCTGTATAAGTCCCTTCAGTTCTAATTCTAAAATTATTCTATGTAACATGGAGATGAGCAAGAAACTAGTATTTGTTGGATGCCTGATAACATACTAGACACACTGCTGGGCACTCTGACATAGGTCATCTCATTTGAAAACCAAGACGTTGAGGATTATCTTCAGTCCACAAGCCAAAGACAGAAACAGAACTGGTGTCAAATCATGAAACCACCATCACAAAGAAAGTACAGAACTAAGGCCAGAATAGGAGTCTTTCAGCTTCAGAGTCCAAGTCATTTTGACTATATTGTTTTGCAGAAGGTGATTAATTTCAAAATAGTTTTTTAACAGTAATAATGACGAATTTTATGGGAAAAAAAATCTCGTAACTTATGTGCAACTGAGAAAAAAATCTGAAGAATCATAATGTGAATCTCACATTTATGCATATATTTGGTACCACAAAGGTAGACCAAGTTTCTTGAAGAAACAGAACCAGTATATTCTGTAAAGTTAATTTATCTCTAATTTGTTGAGAACCTGTGTGCTATGCATTTTATAGACATTCCCACTTTAGAAGGGAATAAACCTTAACAGTTAAGAGCTTGCATTCTGAGGCCAGACGCCCAAGTTCACATGATGGCTTTACCTCTTAATTAACCATATGACCTTGAATGAGTTACTCGACCTTTCTGTATGTCAGTTTCCTCATAATTGAAATGGTAGTATCTATAAGCATTATCATGATGAGAATTATTATTTCTCACATTATCAATTGTGAGAGAAGTGTGTGTGTGTGTGTGTGTGTGTGTGTGTGTGTGTGTGTGTGTGTGTGTGTGTAAGTGCTTAGAACATTGCCTGGCACATACTAAGCAATATGAAACTGTTAGCTACTACTATGATTGTTGTAATTGTAATTATTACCCTCACAAGTGTATGAGTTAGCACTATTTCATTCCGCTGATGCTCAGAGAAATTACATAAGTCAGTCATACATCTAATAAGAGATCTGAACCCAGCTACTAAACTTTAGCTTTTAATAACCATTAAGAGGAGGGTTTGAAAGTAGCCACCTGTATTTGATCTGCTTCTCTGTGACAAGTTTACAAATAACAGCTACACTGTTGAGACAGAACTACAGGAAGCCACGCCAGAACTTCCATGTTGATGGTGCAATCAACTGTATTAAGCATCCTTCTTTTTTCCTCCAGTGACACCTTAATTTATCTGACTGCACCTGTATTATTATCTAATTTAGGGCTGTAAAAGGCATACAAAATTTAGAGCACATAAAAGGCCTCTATGTTGAAATGTATACACTAAAAATGACTTTTTGTTATAGTTCCTGTGCAAGGTTAATTCTTATACCATATGGGTCACTAAATCATAGCTCATGAATCAAGCTGAGTCTACTACCTGTTTTTATATGTCTCTCAAGCTTAGAGTATTTTACATTTTTAAATGGCTGGAAAAAGTTTGAAAAAGATTATTTTGTGACATGAAAATGATATAAAATTCAAGTTCCAGTGTCCTTCAAGTATACTGGAACATACCCAAGTTCGCTGATTTATAAATATACTATATATGATATGGTTTGGCTATATGTCCCCACCCAAATCTTCTCTTGAATTATACTCCGATAATGCTCATGTGTTGTGGGGGGGACCCAGTGAGAGATAATTTGAATCATGGGGTGGTTTCCCACATGCTGTTCTTGTGGTAGTAAGTCTCATGAGATCATATAGTTTTATCAGGGGTTTCTGCTTTTCCATTCTTCTCATTTTCTCTTGCTGCCACCATGTAAGAAGCTTCTTTCACCTTCCGCCATGATTCCGAGGCCTTCCCAGCTATGTGGAAGTCCAATTAAACCTCTTTTTCTTTCCCGTCTTGGGTTATGTCTTTATCAGCAGCATGAAAACGGACTAATACAATATACTATATAGTTTATAGCTGTTTTTTGCATTACAGTTGCAGAGTTGAGTATTTTGACCCTGCAAAGCTTAAAACATATACCACCTGCCCTTTATAGAAAAGGTTTGCCAACCCTTAATGTAGGATCTATTATCTCTGCCCTCCAGTAAGTGACTCTGCCATCTACTCATTTGGCCTCTTAACTCTCTCCTTCCCCTCAGCAAATAAGTAAAATAAAGGCATACCTTTCCCCAAGTATTATATTATTAAATAAGAGGAGAGGGAAAAAGGGAAGAAGAAAGTGAGGAAAAGGAGAGGACGCAAAAGAAAAAGAAGGAAAGAGAGGAAATTCCCTGGTGAGGTCCCTTTAGAATACCTTATCAGTTGTTCATAATCAAAGTTCCTAGAAGAGAACTATAGCTTACTTGCTATAATTTCTTCACACTCCATTGACTTTTCTTATTACTCAGAAAACAAAGTACTTTATAATCTGTTGATTTTTTAAAAATAAACTTTTCTTATTTAGTCAGCAATGCAGGTCAAGTGACACCTTCTAGTAAAAGACCTCTGAAGTTAGACACATGAAAATACTTATCCATTTAAAATAGACAATACTTTCCAATTATTTATTTCTACGATTGACTTAGTGGGACAGTGCTACAAATAGAAGTCCTATGGAATAAATAATATATGGAAGGTCAGCGTTTACTCTAGACAACTTGACAGCAATCAGTTTAAAAAAGGTTTCACCTAGAGGGATGTGTACTGATGTTAGCAATTAACTTTCAAATCCATAAAAAATGAAGATGGATTGATTGTACAAGGAAGGATATATGATAAAGCAATGTAAATATTAACGGCAGAATCTAGGTGGCAGGCATATGTGTGTCAGCTGTAAAATCTGTGTTCAATGCTTTAGTTCCCACGTATCAGTGAGGACATGTGATATTTGTCTTTCTGTGCCTGGCTTAGTTCACTTAAAAAATGAATTTACAGGACAACTGAAATATAAGTAATGAATACAAGTACTAAGAACATGAAGCCATAGAAACAGCTGTCAGAAACTGAAGATGTGACAGTGAACACTGAACAAATAAGATTAGAATTACAATTAGAATCAGAAATGGCAAAAGAGAAATATTAACTGTGAGATGCAATATAAAAACTAATGGTGGATAAAGCAAAGAATAAAGATAAAAAGGGAAAGACTGAAAGGAAAATGTGACTGTAAGTAGAGTGAACTTTGTATTATATAGAAGGTAAAGCAGAATGAACATGTGAGGAATCTAAAAAACAGATATAAAACAGAAACAATTCAAGGCTTATTTAATTAGTCTATAAAGCTAAAAACCACCGCTTAGTGATTTCTCCTAAGTGGAGTCTCCTTATTCTTTCCGTGATGTTGTAAAACTCCATTCTATCTCAAAGTAATTTTTAATGTAAAATTTGTTAAGAATGAGCAACGGTATCCTAAATAGTTCTAGGCCTTGTAGAAATAGATGTAAGAGACATCTATGACACAGCTATATTCAGTATGAGGTAAGATCAACTACAATGGGATGAAGTGAATTTAGATTATTTCGAGACTAAACCTACAATTGTGAACTCATTAGTACCATGAACCAAACAAAAACCTATTAAAGATAGAACAAGATAATTTTCATGAAAAAATAAATACAAATCAGTATTTTCAACCATTTGAAATATGGGTAACACAGAAATGACCTTCAAGAATTATTTTACTCATTTTTATAGTCTCAATGCCCAAAGCGCTTGATATATGATAAAAACAAAGTAAAATTGTAGAACTAAACATTTACATAATATAATTCATCTGGAAAATGAAAATCTGTTTTAACGTGTCATATTTCACAGTTAGAAAGGAAGAAAAACCCCGAATCAACAAATTAACTTTACATCTTATGAAGAACAAATTAGACTCAAAAGTTAACAACAAAAAAGTTACAGCAAAACTAAAAAAAAAGAGAAACAGAAAAGTTTTTCAATAGAAAAAAAATCAACAAAATTAGGAGTAGCTGTTTTATTGACAAATTCTTAGACTAAGAAATGAAGTGAACAGACACAAATAGCAAAAACTGGAACTAAGAAAGGGGATAATATAACTGTTGCCACAGTTAAATAGGACCATAACAAACTAATATGAACAACTATGCTCCAACCAATTTGATAAACTTTGATAATGGATAGACACATAAAACCCACCAAGACTGAGTCACAAATACATGCAACTTCTGAATGAACCTGTAATTATTAGAGATTGAATCAGTAACTGTCCAACAACACCAGGGCTTCACTAAAACTCTGAAAAAACTAAAGAGGACAGAACCCTTTCAAAATGATTTTATGAGGTAAGCATTACTTAGATATCAAAATCAGACAAATTTACCACAAGAAAAAAGAATCCCTGATAAATATGCAAAAAACATCAACAAAATACCAAGAAACAAAATTCAATAATGCACTAAAAAGATTATACTTCATAAATCCTCAAGTGGGATTTATTAATAAAATCCAAGGATGGTTTAAAATACAAAAATCACTTTAATACACTGAATTCTTAGGACAAAAACCAATCATTCTCAACTGACTCAGAAGAAGCATTTGACAAAATTAAACATCCTTTTGGCCGGGCGCGGTGGCTCACGCCTGTAATCCCAGCACTTTGGGAGGCTGAGGCGGGTGGATCACGAGGTCAAGAGATCGAGACCATCCTGGTCAACATGGTGAAACCCCGTCTCTACTAAAAATACAAAAAATTAGCTGGGCATGGTGGCGCATGCCTGTAATCCCAGCTACTCAGGAGGCTGAGGCAGGAGAATTGCCTGAACCCAGGAGGCGGAGGTTGCGGTGAGCCGAGATCGTGCCATTGCACTCCAGCCTGGGTAACAAGAGTGAAACTCTGTCTCCCAAAAAAAAAAAAAAAAAAATCCTTTTGTGGTTTAAAAAAAGGCCAATGCGTGGTGCATGCCTGTAATCCCAGACTTTGAGAGGCTGAGGTGGGTAGATCACCTGAGGCCAGAAATTTGAGACCATCCTGGCCAACATGGCAAAACCCCGCCTCTACTAAAAATACAAAAATTAGCTGGGTGTGATGGTGGGTGCCAGTAATTCCAGCTACTCAAGAGGCTGAGGCGGAAGAATCACTTTAACCCGGGTGGCAGAGGTTGCAGTGAGCTGAGATCGCGTCACTGCACTCCAGCCTGGATGACCAGAGCAAGATTCCATCTCAAAAAAATAAAAACAAAAACATTCAATTCACTAGAAAGATATGGAAATTACTTCAACATAATAAAGGCCATATATGGAAAGACCACAGCTAATATTATTCAGTGATTAAAAAAAAAAAGTTTTTCCTCTAAGATCACAAACGGAACAAGAATGCACATATT